ATTACGACGATTTAATAATTGATAAAATAATATTATACTTAAAGGTGGACGCCCTTCAATTTTGTTTGAAGATACGCCTGTGAGAACTAAAGATCGCTTAAATAAAGAGCTTTTGAGTAAATATAATTTAAACGAACTTTTATATGCAGTAAGTAAAAGTTTGAAAAGGGATAAAAAGTTTATAGAAGCAAAAGTGGTTAAAAAAATATACAACAAAGAATTATCGACAGAATCACTTACTTCAGAACAATCATTAGCGCTAGTCTTAGATGCTAATTTATCCAAAGAAACTAATCAGCATTTAAGAAACAATGCTCTTCCATTCAGCTCTCTATACCCATCATATAGTGTTGTGTTAAATTCACCTGTGCTTAAAGATTGTACTAAACTATTTATAATATACAAAGCTGGTTTTGATGGTGCAACAGGACAATCTGTTTATAAACATATATATATATATATATATATATATATATATATATATATATATATATATATATATATATATATATATATATATATATATATACATATATATATATATATATATATATATATATATATATATACAATTACTGCTTAGTGTTTTCCGGATTTTAAAAGACTGTTTGAATAATTTATTTATAAAAAGTTTTGGCATTATGTAATGGTTTAACTCATAGGTAAAATTGCCATTTTACCATTAGCGTAAAAATTGCCATAAACCATTAGCGTATATATATATATATATACATATATATATATATATATATATATATATATACATATATATATATATATATATATATATATATATATATATATATATATATATATATATATATATATATATATATATATATATATATATATATATATATATATATATATATATATATATATATATATATATATATATATATATATATATATATATATATATATAAGACTAGGTCAGCCCAAAGTCGACAAACTATGTCTCTATAACCATCGCCAAGTCGACAATTTTCATAAGTCGACAGATTTCCTGTCGACTTTACGTTTGAATGAATTTTAGTAACGATATATTTATTATAACTTTTGTTTAAAATATAGATAAACTATTTAGTTAAAATAATATATGATCAGTTTAAAAAAAAAATTAACATTTAGACATTATATAATATGTATTTTTTCAACTATAAGTAGACTTATTCTACTCGTAAATCTTGCGTCAAGTCAACAATAATAAATATATAGACTTGTATTTTAATATTTCTTTGTTTTTATAAACTTTTTTAATATAAATATATGTAAAAATGACAAATAAACTTAAAAATATGCGTATAAAATTTATTTTATACTATTTCTACGACGTCAAGTTGAAACATATGTGCATGCGTTAAAATCGCTAAGTCGACAAATTTTCTAATTCTTGTTAAAAAGACGCTTAATTGATCACTTAAATTTTTTTTCTATACAAATACTTAATCTACGCAACATTTGTTAGTGAAAAATGAATTAAAAAAGAAAATTTTTTATGTCGACTTATGGTGTAAAAAATAATCGCTGTCGACTTTGAGTAGACCCAGGCTTATATATATATATATATATTTATATATATATATATATATATATATATATATATATATATATATATATATATATATATATATATATATATATATATATATATATATATATATATATGTATATATATATATATATATATATATATATATATATATATATATATATATATATATATATATATATATATATATATATATATATATATATATATATATATATATAATGCTATTTTTAGCGTAAAATTCAAGGCTTATATATATATATATATACATATATATATATATATATATATATATATATATATATATATATATATATATATATATATATATATATATATATATATATATTTCCATTTAAAAAAAAATTTAATTTATATTTGTTCTATTATATTTAAATAAAATTTATTATTAAAGTATAATAAATTTATATTTATTCTATTAAATTTAATTTAAATTTTTATTTTAATTTAAGACAGTCTGTTTTTATCTTTTAAAATTTCCTTACATGTTAAATTAAACATGTAATGCTAAAATAAAAAGATTAAATTTTATAAAAAGAATTTTCTATAATAATTTTATAAAAAGAATTTTCTATAATTTTTTATAAAATTTAATCTTTTTATAAATAAAAAGATTAAATTTTATAAAAAGAATTTTCTTTATAAAGAAAATTCTTTTTATAAAATTTAATTTTAGTGAATTTTTTATGTTTGTTTTACATTCAACTTTTTTTATTTCAAGTTTTTTTTTTTAATTGTTCTATTCATTTATTTTTAAACTTATTATTATTTATAGTTTCAAATCAATAACTTATTTTCATCCTTTTACATAACTGGTAATATATAAGAGCCTATTGCTTATAACTGTATATAAATGAAGGCTTGATAAACCTAAAATAGGCTGTAAGCAAAATAACTTTGTAAAACCTTCAAGTAAAGTTTATGTAACAAATTTATGAAAAAGTGATTTTTTTTCATTTTGAAATTGCTTTTTATTAAAAGGCTTTTTTATTATCATTAAGTTTTTAGATCATAGATTGCACGCCAATTAGAAAGGATTAACTACACCATTTTAAGATATAATTGAGTACATGAAAAATGTAATTAAAAAATTGAAATATATAATTGAGAAAAACAAAATAATTATAATATAATTTAGATAGTGAAATAAGTAATCAAGAAACACAACATATAATTAAGAAATCATAAAATATAATTGAGAAACACAGCATGTGAATAAGAAATCAGAATATGTAAATGAGAATTCATAACTTGTAATTGCGAGTTCACAATCTAAGCTCATAGGACATTACAAAAGGTTTTCTGAAACATCCGTGTCAGCATTTATTCCTCTAAATTGCTTACATCCACTTCTGGAACAACCAGAACCAACATGTTCAATTTGTTGGCATGAAATACATACAAACAAACAAGTTGAAAGAAAACCTTATGTTTTATCTTCACTAAATGACAGAAGAAGAGTTGCTGAATATGTTGAGAGAAATGACGGTTGAGTGACTCAAAAATTTAGGAGTCAAATGTAAGTTAGCTTTCAATTGGGTTCGCAGCACAAATTTAAATTTTATTGCAAGAGGTGACTTTAAACCAAAAAAATTGACTGAAGATCAAAACAAAAATATTATGACAATTTATCAAAATAAAAATATAAAGACAGTTTAATATTAGAGTCAAAACAACACCAACCGCCAAAGCAGAACTTACCTCAAAATGACTTTCATTAAAAAAATGCTAAAAGGACTTTTTACAAAAAACAATAATAAAAACAAACAAAAAAGAGCTGAATATGTTAGGAACATCAACGAACAAATCACAACTAATAATCAGATAGTTTGGTTTAATCAAACAAGTTTTAACCTTTTTTAGAATAAAAACGCAAAGATGTGCCGAACAGAAAAGAAGAGCAATAATGAAAGTCCTTGCTTTAAAAGCTGCAAACATACATTTGATTGCAGCTACATCATCAACAAATGTTATCATGATGGAAACTTGCAGATTACTTAATGCAAAATCTTGTAACGAGTAGATGTTGCTTATGTTTCACCAGTAGGTTACATTCTGGAGTCTTTTAGAGGATTTGGTCATCATAACAGACAATGCTCCATGTCACGCACGTTTGAAGAGAGTTAAAAATTATCCAGCTCCATTGTAATGTTTAGGACCCTACAGTCCAATGTTAAACCCAGTGGAAACAATCTGGTCTAAAATTAAAATTAAAAATATTTGGAAAGTATTGGTACTGCGACAAAAAATAGATTAATAGGAGGTGATTGTGCACGCACTACTCAACATACTACGAAGCATTATGCAATGATTTTAAATATGTAAGGTGCCCAAGTTTAACTGTGTTTTAACTGAATATTACAATGATTTTGTAATGATTTCATTACAATGAGGTGTTTAACTGAATATTACAATGATTTTTATTGACATTGTTTAAATTCAATTTAAAGTTTTATTTTTTTTTGTAAATAAATTAATTGTATTTTATTTATTGTTCATCAAATTTCTCAAATGAACTTTTCACAAAAAAAAAAAAAAAAAAAAAAAAATCTAACTAAGCTTTTATCTAGTTATTGCCAAAATCACAAATGCCTTTTTCATCGCTTTTTTATTTTACTGATAATATATTATTTATTGAAAATCAACCCATATGGCTACCTTGGCTAACCTTAAATTACAAGGTTAATTAAGGCAACAAAATTAAAAGTACAAAGAACTTCTTTCAGATAATCTATAGTATAAACTTATTTCAATTACAACTTTTTTCTTCTCAATTACATCTTATGATTTTCTTATTTACAACTTTCATATTCTAAATTACATCTTACATTTCTCAATTACATCTTCCATGTTCTAAATTACATCTTTCTCTATTACAACTATCATCCTCTCAATTACATCTTACATTTCTTAATTACAACTTTCAAGTTCTCAATTATATTTTGAAAAGGTGTAGTGTTTATTAGTATGCAAAGATTTTGAAAAGAGGAAATGTTGAAATAAAATTTGATTTTTTTTTCACTCTTAAACAATTGCCCCCACATTAAAAAAAAAAAAAAAAAACAACAACAAAATTGTAAAAAAGCAAATATAAAACAGTAATGTTGGGTTATAAATGTTTTAATAATAGTATAATAGTATAAATAAATAGTAAAAGTTTAAATAAGTAAAAATTTAATGATTTTTTAAATGATTTTGAACAAACAATGTAAATTAAACACAAATCTGCAACCACAAATTTAAAAAACAAACAAGCTAAATAAAACACAATTTTGTGAGCACAGATTAAATTGACAAAAAACCCTAATGAACTTTTTAGCTTGTTATTTTTAAAGGAAAATTTTATAAATCGTTATATTTTTGTTATCAAAGTTTCACCTTCAGTTTTTTACATTTTTTCAACAAACAAAAAAAGCAAAAAAAAAACCTTTTTCGTGGCATGTTTTTGAAGCAATGGAGAAACTGATTAAATCTTGAGATAATGGTGGAATAACAACTAAAGATAACAACTAAATAAAAAATGAGACTTTGTAATTTTACCTAATACAAATATTTTCAATAAGTATTAAAAAAACCAACCATCCATCATGTCATTTTGATTCTTTTCAAACCTTGTCTCTCCTTTCTTAATGCAAATCTTTTGCATGGAATTCAATATTACTAAAATCATAAAAACATTAAAAATATTAAATCTAAAATAATGCTAAAGGAGAATTTCAAAAATAACATGATAAAAACATGAAAAATATTTTATTTTACATTAAATTTGAGAAATGTTTTTACATTAAACTTGCTATAAAAACTTGTTATATAATATTTGTTAAAAAAAAATTTATTAAAAAAATCCACTCTAATTACTTGGCTTTTGATGCAACAAGAAGATGATAAAAAAACATGTGGTTATCAGTTTTAGTTGAACCAATTGTGGTTATATAAAAGACTTAAAAAATTGTCAAATTTTTTAGTGTAAAAATTCTTAAATTCTTTACAAAATGTTTAATATTTGATTAATGTGTACAAACATTACACTAAAAGATGCAGAATTTAATTTTAAAAATTTTTTATTGTATGAAATTTTTTGTAACATTTAAATTTAAAAAGTTTTTTCCAGAAACCTAAAAATAAATACATCTGTCTTTTAATAATTGACAGATTTTATATCTATTTGATTGTTTTTCATATACATAATTAAACAAATATTATAAAGATGTCAAAAAGAAAAACAACAAACAAATCAAAAAAATACATTTTGGATGAATGCTTTAAACTGTTAAAACAATTATCTTTTGGAAGCACTTTAAAGCAAGTGCTTGAAAAGATTTCTTAACATTAAAGACTATAGACTATATGTATCGCATATAGTCTATAGTCTTTAATGTTAAGAATAGATGTATCGCATAGGAATAGATGTATCGCATGGAATATTCAAAACACTACAGAAAACAGAGCTTCAAACAAGGCTGAACTTAGCAAAGGCAGATGGAACTAATTTTAATACTGGTCATTCACAGGGTTCTTTTAAATATTTGGAAGTTTTTTTAGGAGTTTAATTACAGTGTGATATTTGCATTTCGCATCTAAATGAGTCATCTTTAAGGCATATAAGATCAAAATAAATTTTCTGTAACCATTGGCTCACAGCTGAATGACAATGTTTCCAAATAGGGTGCTGCTAAGTTTAGGGCTATTCCAAATCCAAAATTTGTCATACTAGACAATAAAGTCATTGTTATTTTATAGAAATATAAATATTATGCTTATCGCGTAAGTTTGGACACAGGGAACATAGATGATTTTGTATTTTTTAGAAGTTAGACTTAAAAACTACTCTTATTGGCTAACATTAGCATGCAGAATTGTGCGAATGTTTCTTTTTCCAAAACTACTAAAAATTAACTAAATAGCTTTTTGCTATTTTGTTAATTTAATATTAAAATCAAAAAACATTTAACTGACAGTCCCAAAAACATATTTAATGTGATTTGAAGAACCAATAAATTTCCTGATTCAAATGCTAAGAACATTTGTTACAAAGTTATAAACAATAACAGTTATTTTGCTTATAATAATAGTAATATAGACGCTGTAGCAAGTTAATTCGCGAAACACATATATGTTATATATGTGTTATGATAGCCTAAACTACTTTTATCTTATTTAAAATAATTTACAATTTGTTAAAAATCAAAATTATATAAAAATTAAATAAATTTAATAAAATTTATTATAAAAATTTATCAAGTCTTATGATGAAAATAATCAGAGATCAGAGGGAAATAGTATTTTAGCAGTTAATAAAATTTTGCATTTAAAAGAAAATTTTCATGATGAAGAAAATGATTTTGTATAGAAAACGGTTGAGAGTGACGATGACAATGAAGCCAATATTAGTGAAAGTGAATATCCCTCAATGAATGTAAGTGTTTCTAAAGCTAAAAAATAATTTTAAAGCTGTATGTTATTATAAAATGACTTTAATTTTCCTTAACTTGTGACAAAAGTTTCAGCTTCTGTGGTTTAACACAATCACAGAAATAGAGTAATTTAAAACAAAATTAGGTCTACGAAATTAATTAAAAATTTCATTAAAAAGTGATTTTAGACTATAATGTTTTGTATACTTTTTTGTGTTTTATATGTAATTAACACTTTTACAATTTACAATTTTATTTTACAATTGTTTTTTATTTTACAAAATCCTTACAATTGTTATTTTACAATTAACAATTTTTTTATATGTAACACTTCAATTACAAGATTTTGCATTTTGATAGTCTATTTGAACATAGATGTAATATATTAAAAGTATTTGTTGTCATATTTTTGCAATATGTCACTATTTCAACTAAAAAACAACATTTTTTTTTAGAATTTTAGCAATAGCCTCATAAATATGGTTTTAGAAAAAACATTTGTAAATAAGTTTAAACCTTGTAGAGGTTTCATTTTCAGTAGACCATTAAAAATCTGCAACTGAACATGTAACAAAACTGTGAAACTTATTGTTTTGTTATAATTATTTAAACTTTTTTAATTAATTTTACAATACATTTTAGAAGTTACAATACAATAATAGGAGCAGATGAAAAAAATATATATATTTTTATGATAAAAATAATATGAAGTGATAGTCCTATGTCAGTTGGACATTAGAGTAGAATTTGATTATTTATAAAAAATATATTTACATTTGTTAACAATGAGACTTTTAGGTGGTTTATTAAATATTATCATTTTTATATTGATGTTACTTTTTAAATAAAAATTGAAAACTAAGGTACTTGATAGCATTTAAAAGGACCTTATAACAATTATTACAAGGGCCTAGTTTTTTTTTATAATAGAACACAATAAAACCAACTCTCTTTTAACTGTAAATATAATTGGAGAGTAATAAGTTTCTAACAGTTTTCTAAATAGTTACTATTACTAATTTTTTCAGCATAATTTGTTGCTTTAATTTTTTTAATTGAAAATAAAAGATAACTATTTAACAAAATATTCAATAATAAAAATATAAATACATAAAATGTTGAAAATAAGATAACAAAAATAGTTTTTTTATTTTAAATATTTTAGTAAACATTTACTTAAAAATTCTTTTCAAGAAAAGTTTGTCTTGTTTTAATGACTTTATCAGGAGTTACCTTTTTCATTGTTTTTGTTAATTTGTCTTCCATTATAACTTTTCCTTAATACTGGAGCTGGAGTTTTAGGTTCTCTTTTATTTGACAAAGAAGATCCCATATCTAAACTGCTTGTCACTCCACTATCATTGCTTGATAATACACGAACTAAGGAAGAACTGTTATGTAATGAGGTCTCAACTATGTTTTTGTCCAAACCAGTTATTAATGCTACACCACTTTCTATTGTATCTAAATTTGTGACTGCTGAAAGTGTTTTATTCTTTGTTTTTTGGATAACACCAGGTTTAATTTGACTCATTGCACTTTGAGGTACAGAATAAACACCAGAGTCAGTTTCCCGAGGAACATTTTTCTCCATAAGATTTTCTGATTCCCTTTGCTGATACTTTACAGCTTTGACGAAATCTGAATAATTTGAATTTAATATATCCAATATTAAATCTGACAAATATATTATATAACCTTTTGAGTTTTCATTACTGAAAAGAAAAGGATTAGCTTGGTTAGGTAGAAAATTAACTTTCTTTTTTTTTGCAATAGAAAAGTATGCTGCTATATCTTCCAAAAGAGAAGGAAATGTAAGTTTTGCCTCTTCAAAAAAAAATTCAGCTTTTGATGTGTTTTTCCAGTTATCAAATTGTGATAAAGCAGTAATGTTTTTGAAACTTTTGTTTAAAGAATTACTATTTCCAATATTTACATGATCTTTTTTTCGTAAACGTTTTTTAAATCCAAGTTTTTTTCCGTTGTCAAAAAAAAACAGATTAAAATCAGAATTTTGACTGGACATACTCCCAGCAAATTAAAAATGTTTTCATTTTTTAAAATACAATTTTTATTTAAATACTTTAGTGCAATGTTCGTTTAACTACGACTTTTTAAGATGTTTTGTAAAAATTATAATTTAATTAAATAATTCGGAAAATTTGGAACAAGTAAACAAAGTTTACGCGGAGTTGCGCGATCTTTCAAGGTTTTTATTATAGATTCAAACAGAAAATAATGCCATCGATAATTTAAAGGCGAATTCCTAGAATATCTTTATTCGGTAATTAGTAATCAATTCCTATGTAACTTAAACTATGTCACGTGTCAACTTTTGCTGACTTAAACAAAAAAAAGTCTTCGTTTTTTGAAATTTGTTGACAGACTCATCCCCTCCCCCCTCTCCCACACACACACACACAACCCATCTTCAACCACACACACATTTTTATTTAAAACAACTTGCATACTTTAAACAAAATGATTTATTCAATGATGACCAACACGGTTTCAGATGCAATCATTCATGTGAAACGTGTTACATGTTCTTATCTCTTATATCGAAGAACGAGTTAATATTGGTATACCGCAGGATTCCATTTTAGGACCTCTTTCTTTTTTTGATTTTCATCAATCATCTACCTGAAATTTTGACACTATTTAAATCAATATTATTTGCAGATGATTACAACACTTAGGACAAGTGATACCAATATAAGACATCTAATAACAAAAACTCAAATAGCATTTAATAATTTTATTGAATGGTGCTATGCTAATAAACTCGATATCAATTGGAATAAATTTAGAGCAACGATTTTGACAAATAAGCATATATTTAAAATACAATTACCAACATCAATCGTCTTAAATAATAAGTTCAAAATTGAAATAGTTTATAAATTTTCTTTGCTTGGCGTCATTATAAATAGTAAATTACATTTTACCGAACACATAAAAGAGATAAAAGCAAAAGCATACAAAAAATTGTTCTCAATAACTATTGTATTCAGTCTAGCATTCAAAGTTCGTTTACAATTCTTCAAAACAATCATTCTACCTAACTATGATTACTGCACAAGTCTTATAATTTACAACACAAAAAAATAAATAAAAAGTCTTAGCAATGCATGCTTTATGATTTTATTTTTACCACTCAAAATTAATATTCAAAGTAAAGATATATTTCAAATCAACAACAACTTTAAGCATACAACCTACAAAGTTTTCATTATCAATTTTTTGCAGAGTACTAAAACTATGCAATTAAATAGTTACAAAAAAATCAAATAATTTGATTTTATTTACCTTGATAACTTTAAGTACAATACTCGAAATGAAAACTTTTTAAACTGAAAGTTGTCTAACTAACACGATTGACAGTTAATAAAGTTTTTTTTCAGCAATATAATTAATAAGCTAATTTGCTTAATTGCAATGCCAATATCAAATTAGCACCACTTTAGTGATCGAACAACATCAACTCAATTATAGCACATACAACTATCAACAACATTAGGTTCGATGTCGATGTAAACAGAATAAATAACTATATTGACTTTTATGTAAGCAAAAAATTAAAAAAAAGACTAGACATTATTTAAATTAGTCAACACCTTTGTATTTACAATAATTTATTATACTAATTGTATTTCATACTAAAAACACTTCTATTCACCAGCAATGGTAAAAGACATACAGCTCATGAAACAGAAGTTAAGAACATATATTGAAGCAAACCGACAAAAAGCCTTAAATATGTTCAAAATTTAAAAAATTTTAAAAAGCAAACCGACTGAGCAAAGCCTTAGAAGCAAACCGACTGAGCAAAAAATATGTTCAAAAAGAGACATTATAAAAGTCTTAAATTCTGTTCTACTATATCTACTTCGAATCTTTAACCCCGTAAATAATTTTGTGTTTATAGTTGCTCCTCAAATTATAAATAAAAAACAAATGATAATGTGTGTGCCACAATGTATAAGTTTTACTTTAAATCGTGAATTTAATAGCAAATCTACACTTTAGAGAATTGTGAGGTATTGAATAAAAAGATATACAGATATAGAAGATTGTGAGTAATGTATTAAAAAATTTCAAATGCAAACTTTGTATTTACAAATTATAGGCAAGTTTGAGCTCAGCACTGGCCTAAAGATGCCAACTTAAAAAGAGTCAAAAAGGTGAAATCTTTAAAACAGGACTGTGGAGTCAGAGTCGTGAAGTCGGAGTCGTGATATTTTTAGCGTCGCTAAATTGTTGGAATTGGAGTCGCTAAACAAAATCGCGACTCCAACTCCAAGAGCAAAACTTCTTGGTATTGCACGTGCATGTACAAAATACTTAACCTTTTAAGAATTTTTTATATTTTTTTTCAACAATTTTTAATCGCGTAATATTTTTTCAAGAATTTAAAAAATTTTTTTTAAATTTTTAAAAAAATTATTTGAAGTTGGGAGTTGGATTTTGAGTCGTAGACGGAGGAATTTTTTCTGAAAACTTCAACAATTGGAATCGGAGTTGGAGATAGTAATTTTTTTTCACGACTCCACACCCCTGCTTTAAAAAAATGGACGCCATTCAAATTAATTCAATCGTAAAAAAATTAAAATCAATGATAACTAACTGTGAAAAAAAATTTATTGTTGTTGAAAAAAATATCTCTTTAATATCATACGAACATTGTTAACCAATACCTCAGTTATCAATATATATAACGTTAGAAGATTCTCGAGATATTTATTTCACTGGATATAACTTTAGAAGATTCTCGAGATATTTCACTGAATATAACTTCAGAAGATTCTTGAGATATTTCACTGGATATAACTTTAGAAGATTCTCGAGATATTTCACTGGATATAAATTTAGAAGATTCTCGAGATATTTTACTGGATACAGCCAACTTTTACAAATAATGCAATCTTTTTTAAACAAGAAAAATTGTTAAATATAATTCTCAACTGGAGAAACAGTTAAATAAGTTATTAATAATAAAATAAAGGTTCTAATCAAGGAAGTTTATATTAAGCACCAAGTAGGTTTATTAAAGAAAACAAATAATACTCCATTTTCTGTAAAAGATATTTCAAATGCATTACATCTTTATTTAAAACCTCGATCAGTATATTTTGATATTGTAAAAAAGCTTGTTTTGTCATGTCATTTTCAACGCATGACAAGCAAAATGAATAAACTTGAAGATTCCAAATATTTAAAGATGATATTCAAAGAGTTTAAAGACGATATACAAAGAATTTAAAGATAATATTCAAAAAGTTTAAAGATGATATTCAAAAAGTTTCAGGAATTTAAAAAATACTGCTTTATCTTGGCTAACAAAGTGTGCAAAAAAACTTGGCTACAGTACGCTGGTAGTAAGTTATTTTTAACTAATCAACTGTAAAGCCTAGATTTTTGATTCTTGTATCTTTTTTTAAACTATTGCTTAAAAAATTTAAATAAATGTATAACTCTCAATCAATTATAATAAATCATGAAGATAAAGTATTTTTCTAAGAAATTATTAATTTTATTTGCTTTTTCTTGGACAAATGTCGAAGAAAAAGCAAAAACAGTTTTAGCACTATTGCTCAATTGTCGTTTTGGTGGTTTACGACTTCTTATAAAAGTTTTTAAAAAAAATCAAAGAATCATAATTGCATGTTGAAAGCCTCTTGGATTATTAATGGATAACTGTCGAGTAAATAAAATAAATTTCAATATTATAATGTAAAGAATGTTCCAACATACTATCTTTGAATGATATTTTAAAATGCACATATTTTGAAATGTATTCGAATAATAAAATTACTAAAAAAATTGCAATGTTTAAAATATACATCATGAATAATAACCATACTGTGCGCAGAATGGAACTAAAATTCACTTTTGTTAACACAAAAACCAAAAGTGTCAGAAAAAACCATGACAGCAAAACAGTGCTGTGGAGTCAGGGTCATGGAGTCGGAGTCGCGACATTTTTAGCGTAGTCGGAGTCGGAATTGGAGTTGGTAAACAAAATCGCGACTCTGACTCCAATACTAAAACTTCTCGGTACTGTGCGTGCATGTATAAAATATTTAACCTTCAAAGAATTTTTCATAAAATTCGGCAAATAAAAATATTTTAAATTATCAGTAATATCTTTTTAAAAATTCAAAAAATTTAAAAAAATTTGTAAAAAAATTATTCACAATTGGAGTTGGAGTCGGAGTTGGAATTAGAATCAGAGTCGGAGTTTTAGTCGTATTCTAAAAATTTTACAATCGGAGTCAGAGTTGATACCTTTTTTTACAACTTCATATCCCGGCACCAAAACCTAATTAAAGTAAAATGTTGGATTAGTTTTTAAAGCTTTCTTGATAAAGCAGTTGCTGTTTAAAGTGTAAAATTTCTTGAAGCTAAAGATACAGCACTTTTCATTGAAACAATTGTCAAGTGATGGCTGATTGTCAACAATAAAGCAAAAGGTCTAGATATTAGAATAAATAATATTCGAAGAAAGCTTATTACTTCAGGTAATGGTTTGCAAATAAATTTCTTAGAAAACTCTATTTCTTTTTTTGTTTAAAATTTGAAATGCTTAAGTTCAAAATTAAGAGAGAAAATATTAACAATACTGCGATTGCCTTGCCAAAAACTTCTAAAAGATTAGCAAACTGTGCAAATTATATGTTGAATTACGTTGTATTTTATGTATTGTTAGGACATATGCAATCAGATGCACTAGAAAATCAGTTTAGGAAGTATTGGCAAGATTCAAGAGGCACATATCCGATAACTGTGTAAAACTGTGTTATTAAAAAATTTAAATTGATAAAACTTCCGCCGTTAACCAAACGGAGGCATAAGAATACAAAAACTCGAAAGTTGCTAAACAAGCAAGCAGAAAAAGTATTTCCTCTTGCTCGTCCCGCTACTGCAATAAGTGTAAACTTGATGTGAATCAGTTGCTAAATAAATGCAAACAAGGACTTTTATATATTGCTGACTTTATTGCTTCCAATCTTCCAGAATTAAAAATTTTTCTCTAATACAGTTTTAAAGGAAACAGACATCTTTGATATATTCCAAAAATATGAAGCTTTGATTAGCTTTTTGAGCGGGGAAGACCTGAAGAAGAACCTTTTTAGTTTACTTTATTATTTTTTATATCTAAAGGTTATTGTTTTTTTATATCTAAAGGTTACTTATCCTTTTTTTATATTTGAAGTGACACTTGTGGATTTTGACTTTTTCGATGTGTTAATTTTTTATTTTTAACTAAAACCAGTAAGTTTTTAACTAAAACCAATAAACTTTTTAAGTTTTTATTGTAAATAACTTTATTTTTAACGTAAAAATAACTAACAATATTTAATACTTCCAAAATTGAATCAAAATGATTTTGGCAAATCTCTTTTTTTGTTTCTGAGTTTGTTTAAAAAAGCAAACATAAAAAATAATTTTAACTGAAAAAAGTCGGCCTTTTACAGAAACTGATTTTATATAATAAATATGTAAATATATACAAATATAATGAATATATATAACAGCCTTTTACGACCAATCATATATGTATAGGGATGGCAAAAATCCCGGAAATTTTTAATCCCGGGATTTCGGGATTGAGAAATTTGTCCCCGGGAAACCCCGGTAAATCTCGGGATTGAATAGAAAAATACGCAAAAAGATTATCCATAAATTACGTAACGCAAAATTTCACAATAAACAAAATAAAAAAAAAGATCTAAAGTTTTCCCTTTCAGAGTCTTAATTTAAATAAATAATCAAAATAGGAAATTAAGTTAAATGAAAATCGCCGCGTAAAAGAGCCTAATATCTCCTACTTCTGTTCTTAAAATATATTTTGCGTTGCGTAATTTATGGACGATCGCAAACGCAATTGAATACTTTTTAAGCACTCATCAAAGACTTAAAAATGATTAATTTAATGATAATATAACTAAAATATTTGATACGTTAATGAACCTTTAAAAATAAGTTGAATCATGTTTTAACTTAATTTTGATTTAAAACTTATCTAAGACTTTTAAAAATTAATAAACCTAATTATTATAAATTATAAAACAATACCTTATAATGGTAACAAAGTATAAATAAAAATTAAAATTAAAAAATAATATAAATATGCATGACGTTAAAAAATCACTTTCGTAAATAATACATTTTCATAAATCACACATTTGAAAATTAAAATGGATATAAAAATGGAATTAAAATCGCGCATACTTTTGGAAGCAGAAAATTCAAAATTAAATTAATGTATACCTTCTGTTAAAAACTCTTGCTCTTTTTACCAGCAAGCGCTTAAACTTTATTTATTTTTATAATATTCTAGTTTTGATGTTATACTATATATTATATATAGTATAATATTAAAACTAGTATATTATAAAAAATAACAAAAATATAAGCGCTTGCTGGTGGAAGGAGCAAGAATTTTTAATAAAAGTTAAACATTATTTCATTAAATATTTTGAATTTTAATTTTATATATATATATATATATATATATATATATATATATATATATATATATATATATATATATATATATATATATATATATATATATATATATATATATATATATATATATATATATATATATATATATATATATATATATATATATGTATGTATGTATGTATGTATATATATAATCTTTAAAAGTCATTTTCTTGTTATACGATAATGATAAAATATGTAAAATTCAATAAAAACGGCTGCGTATAAACTTTTTAAAAATATATATTTGTTTTTATTTTAATATATTTTTTTGATATTTCGCTGATCTATTGTGATCAGCGTCATCAGGTGTAATAAATAAAAATCGTTACAAAGAAAATTGTTGTAAAAAAAACTAACCGTTAAAAAGATAACATTAAAAAGAGCATAACAAAATACAAAATAGCTTTAAATGTTGACGTCAAATAATCTAACAAAAAACGGCCCCCAAATTTTTGTCGTCACGTAATCACCATCATCCCTATTTAAAACTTTTTCATCACTTCCAAGTTTTTGTCGAACTTTAGCTCTGTTTACTTTGAGTGACTCTCGATCTTTCCGAATATAATACTCTGGAGCGATTGATATGGTTTTGAGATGTAACCAATCAAATGTACCCTGGCATGATTTGGAATGTTCGGTAGCACCTGAACTGGCCCATTTTCCTTTAACACTATTTTTCTGGTGTTTAATACATCTCGATATAACTTTCTTCTTAGTTTCTCCAATGTATAAAGAATTGTATGAACATTTTACTTTTATTTTAGGTAGACGCCTGGGTTTGTATTTGGAGGAAGTTTTGTCTTGTTGTTGCATAAAATATTGTTTAATTTTGGAGCGGATGTAAATATAACTTTTATGTTTTGTTTTCTAAGTTCCTTTCTAAGTTTGGGACCAACGATTGGTATCCATGGTAGTTTTATAAATGGTTGGTTGTCAGTTGGTTTATAATTGGTATTTTTTAATTCGTTTTTTAGAAAGTTTCTGGCGATATTAATTAGATTGTTCTTGTTGTGCCCGTTTTCAACAAACATTTCTATTAGAAAATCAATTTCTTGTTTGAGATATTTTTGAGAGCATAATCTCTATGCACGACATAAAAACCCTTTGAATACGCCAGTGATAATATTAGGACTAATGTTTGAGTTAGGTTTTAGTTGAATATTAGTTATTGCTTCTTTTCGATGTATTTGAAATTCATAAGCTCCATGCATTGTGTTTGTAATATTAACATCTAGAAAGTTAAGTTGTTTTTGGTGGCTTTCAACAGTGTATTTTATGGCAGGGTTTTGTTCGTTTAGGATATTTAGAAACATTTGTTGTTGTTTTATTGAGTTAAAGCGAGCGTGACAGTCGTCTACATATCTCACAAAAGTTTTTGGTTCATATGTACAAATAGTAGCTATATTAAGAGCTTTTCTTTCTAGATTCTGTAGAAACGCTTCCGCGATAACAACCATTAAAGACAAACCTATAGGACCTGAATTAGGTATTATTCGGATTTTGTTTTCATATAGAAAATAGCAAATACTCAATGAAAGTTCTATTAATTGGTGTATGTCTACAAGAGATAGTTTAGTTCGAGTTTTTAAGTCGTTTATATCATTATTCAATATATCAATAATAACTGGAATAGCTTCGTCAATGGGTATGGACGGATATAAATTGACTACATCAAATGAAACTTGAACCTCATTGGGATCTATTTTCCATTGTCTGGCTTCTTTAACAAAGCTATTGGAATTAATAAGTCTGTTTTTGTTTTTATTTAATGTTTGTTGAATGATATTAACGAGGTATTCGGTGTTTCATATGGCGGTGTGTTGATTGTTGAGACAACAGGGCGCATTGGGTAATCTTTTTCAGGTTTGTGCGCTTTAACCATTCCATATATTCTAGGTGGTACACAATCTGACGGATACATTTTAAAATATGTAGTTGTGTCTAGTTTACCCTCTTTTCTTAATTTAGATAATTGTTTTTGAAATTTGGTAGTAAGTGTGGGTGTCGGGTCATGATCAATAATTCTGCTATTTTTAATTGTTTCTTCTAATTTAAGAGATGCATCTCTTTGGTATAGTAGTGCAAAACCTGTGCCTTTATCAAAGGGATAAATTTTAATATCGGAATTCATCTTTAATTTTCTTATAGAAATACGTTATTGTTTAGATAAATTATCTTTTAATCTTAATTTTAATGAATTTGTCAAAATATTAGAACAGTTTTGTCTTAGAGATTCTGCCTGTATTGGTTTATCCAATTTTTCAAGTCGTAAAGCGCACATTTCAATATTTGTTATAATGTCCATATAAAGGGATTTTCTTCTGAAATGGCACAAATATTGGACCTAGATTTAGAAGTTCAGTTGTTGCTTTATCCAAAATAACATTAGTTAAATTAAGTATAGCAGGTTTAATAACTTGATTAGGAGGATTTATTCTAGGAGTATTTTTTATATTCGATGTAGTTTGTAATTTATTGTATTTTTCTTTCATTTCCTTTTTTTTCTTAAGATAATGGTAATTTTTTGATTTGCTAGTTATACTATTAATTAGCTCATAGTCATTTAATCTTACTTTATTATGAAGAAATATATTTAATTCATCAATTAATTTCTTACTTGAGTATAATCTGTGTTTTGCTTCGTTACGAGCATGAACTAATAGTTTATTTCTGTATTCTTTCATGATGTTCTTTGCTTTTTTAGTATATATTGGAGTTTTTATTTGAAATGATTTTGGAGTTATATTATTTGATATGCACTTTTGAAGAAAAACGAGTTGGTTTTTTGTGTTAGCATTTCGTATCTTCAAATCTTGTAACTTTTTGATATCATCGTAAATCTTTTTGCCGTAAAAAGTAGTAATATAATCTTTAATAGTCATTTTCTTGTTATGCGATAATAATAAAATATGTAAAATTCAATAAAAACGGCTGCGTATAAACTTTTTAAAAATATATATTTGTTTTTATTTTAATATATTTTTTCGATATTTCGTTGATCTATTGTGATCAGCGTCATCAGGCATCAGGTGTAATAATACATATATTATATATATATATATATATATATATATATATATATATATATATATATATATATATATATATATATATATATATATATATATATATATATATATATATACATTTAAATCAGCTGCTGCTATAGGCCACCAACTGGTAGAACAGAAAATCTTGGTAAATTTTTGAAATACAATCTAATAGAAAAAATTAGTCAAGAAAAAAAATTTGGATTGTTTTGAATATAAAGAAAACCAAAACATAAAAACATTTTATAATAATTTATTTGAAATGGGAACCATACCAATAATAGATAGACCGATTAGAATTACAAACCATTCGTCAACTTTAATTGATAATATATTAACCGCAGACTGTTTTAATAAATCTCTAAAAAAAGGAATTATAAAAACTGATGTTTCAGATCATTTTCCCGTATTTTTTTCTATTAAATCAGAAATCAAATAAAAAACGAGGATAAAATGACAATAAAAAAACGAATTGTGAACAATTGTAACTTAAAATCATTCAAAGATCAAATTTCACAGCAGGAATGGAATCACATAAACTTTAATGATAACATAAACATTATCTATAACACATTTTTTAAAACTTTCTTTAAAATCCATGACGCTAATTTTCCAATATGTGAAATAAATCTCAAGGCCTAAGACATATTGTCTCCTTGGATAACTAAGGGACTAATAAAGTCTTCAAAACTATAACAAAAATTGTATAATAAATACTTAAAAACAAAATCTGTAAAACATCAACAAAATTACAAAAACTACAAAAAACTGTTTGAAAAACTCCGGAAAAATGCTAAAAAAAATTATTATTCTAAATTGCTTACTCAGCACAAACATAACTTAAAACGAGTCTGGGAATTAATGAAAGAAAATACAGGAAAGCAAAAAGTAATTTCAACTTCTCTTCCACTTGCAATAAAAGTAGGAAATAAAATAACTAATAATTCTAATGATATTGCGACTGAATTTAAAAAAAATTTTTTACTATAGGAACAAATTTATCTAACAAAATCCCTTTATTAAATTATAAATTAACAGATGAACGTCAAAGTCAAACTCCTTACATTTTACAAACCTAACGCTTGAGGAATTTGATACAGCTTTTAGATCGTTAAAAAGAAATAAATCAGTAGGACCTGATGGTATAAATAAAAATATTGTATTAAACTCTTATGATGTCATGAAGGATATTCTTTACAAAATCTTTAAACAACAACATCCATTAAACAAGGTTCTTTCCCAGACTCTCTGAAAATAACAAAAGTAATTCCTATTTTTAAAATAGGAGACCCGACCAATATAACAAATTACAGACCTATTTCTGTTCTTCCAGTTTTTTCAAAAATATTAGAAAGAATAATGTATAACAGAGTGTACACATACCTAATTACCAATAAGCTCCTTTATGAAAATCAGTTCGGTTTAAAAAAAAACAACTCAACCGAACATGCTATTCTTCAATTAACACGTTATATTAAAGAATCTTTTAAAAATCAAAAATTTACACTTGGTGTTTTCATTGACCTGTCAAAAGCTTTTGACACGGTCGATCATAATATTTTGCTTAAAAAACTTGAATGTTATGGCATAGCAGGTAAAACTCTAAGTTGGTTCAAAAGTTATCTCTCCAACCAAAAGCAATTTGTTTTTAATAAAGATTCCCAACCTCAAACATTAATGAACATAACATATGGTGTCCCAGAAGGATCCATACTTGGACCACTTCTTTTCATTATATATATATAAATGATCTTAACAAAGCATCCAATTTAAAGACTATAATTTTTTGCAGATGACACAAACTTGTTTCAGTCACATGAAAATATAAACCTACTTTTTTAATAATATGAAAAGAGAACATTAAAAAATTTCAATTTGGTTCAAAAAAAATAGGCTATCTTTAAATATTGAAAAAACAAAATGGATACTTTTCCATCCAAACTATAAAAAACAGATACTGCCAGTAAATATGCCTAATCTTTTTATAGACAATGTCATTCTAAAAAGAGAAAAAGTGACAAAATTTTTGGGAGTTTTTATTGAAGAAAATCAGTCTTGGAAGTCACACATCAATAATATTTCTAATAAAGTTGCAAAAAACATTGGAATTCTAATAGAATACTAAATAGAATACTACCTTATGTAATATTTGCATAATTGATATGACAGTGAATAAAAGAGTAATATAATTGTGTTAATTGCTTTTTGTCTAGATTTGTATAGAATTTCTATACAAATCTAGACAAAAAGCAATTAACACAATTATAGAATTTCTATACAAACTTAGACAAAAAGCAATTAACACAATTATATTACTCTTTTATTCACTGTCATATCAATTATCCAAATATTATATAAGGTAGTACACATAAAACTAAACTTAAATCTCTTTATCGGCATCAGAAACACGCATTTTGTGTTTTATGTACAAATGTAAAGAACTTTTGTCCCCCGATGTATTTGTAAACCTTTACAAGATTAAACCCCATAACAAATATAACCTACGTAATAATAGCTTTTTAGAAAAACTTTTTTTCAATAATAAACAAGCTATCGTGGACCTTTTCTCTGGAATGAAATAGTACGGCCTAATTTTATTTTTTCATCTAAATTGACCTATTCCTTTTTCAAACAATCTATTAAAAAAAACATTTTTTCAACAAAAAATATTTTTGATTTTTTTTGATTTAAAAAAAAAAAAAAAAAAATTTTTAGTTGCTATACTGCATAATCATTTTTTGTGTTTTATTTTGAGTTTCACTTCTGAAGTATGTAGTGTCAAATTTATGATATATTTAGTGATTATATATTCTCGGTATATATTTATTGTATATAATATATAGATGTTTTTATTGTAGAAGAAAATAGAATTTTGTTAAGGGCTTTGTGATAAGATCATTACGATTTTCTTGAAGTCCTGTCCGTATAATATTATAAACCTTGATGTAAATAATATTATACGGCAAATAAAATAAAATGAATATATATATATATATATATATATATATATATATATATATATATATATATATATATATATATATATATATATATATATATATAAGTCATTTTTTCAGTCAGTTTCTTCAAAATTATTTATTTGAAAAATTATTAGGGAAGGGGGGGGGGCAAATGCTCCTGCTACCACCCAGTTGCTGAGGGCCTGAATATATAAAATATGTTAGTGTATTCTACAAATATTCTTAAAGAACGGAGCAATAATAAATTAGTAAAAACAATTATCTAATTTTTTCTGCAACGAATTGAAGCCTTATTATCTTCCTGATGAACTTACTGATGGAGAAACAATTTGTAAAATAAAAAATCGTTTCTCTTAAAAATTAGTGAAAAGGTGTTTTTACTAGTATAACATGAGAAATTATAGTTATGTATATGAACCATTTTGCCTCACAAACTTCTCTCTCTCTGTCTCTGTCTCTCTCTCTCTCTCTCTCTCTCTATATATATATATATATATATATATATATATATATATATATATATATATATATATATATATATATATATATATATATATATATATATATATATATATATATATATCTATATATATATATATATATATATATATATATATATATATATATATATATATATATATATATATATATATATATATATATATATATATATATATATATATATATATATATATATATACATAGAAGTTCGTTCGGCAAAATGGTTCATTTACATAAATATTATTTCTCGTGTTCAAAGGTCGTGGTCAAAGGTCGTGCTCAAAGGTTTTAAAATTAATAAGACTTTAAAAATTAAAAGAGACAAACTTTCATATAAAAATAAAAAATTTCATATACATTAAGTTTATATACATCCAAGACCGTACCGTAACATTTTTAAAGAAAAGGGCGGTCGTTTTTGAAAAAAAGAGTTTTAAAAAGCAAAAAAAATCTTGCTCAAATTTTATAATAAAACTTGCGTGAAAGAAAGAAAATTTGGTAAAAAAGGGGGTTGATTGTACCCGACGATCTCCCACGGTACGGGTATGACAGTGAGGATTTTCATTTTATTAAAAAATTGAGAAATGTGAGAACCGATCCTCAGAATTAAATAACGGTTTGCATGTTTTTAACGTTTATTGTCCCTGTTCCCTGTAGAGATGAAAATAATTTCATTTTATGGGGTTTAAAACGGTGTATTGAAAAATCCGAATTTATTTCCAATAACATTTCCATCTAATAAATTAAATTATGGTTAAAAGTATAGTGTTAATTAAATCTTAAAAGTTTTAAACTATTCCTTGGCTGTTCTAAGTTTGGCTACTCTCCCTAGTATTAATCTCCATAGTATAGAAGTTTGGCTACTCTCTCTAGTATTAATCTCCATAGTATAGAAGTTTGGCTACTCTCCCTAGTATTAATCTCCATAGTATAGAAGTTTGGCTACTCTCTCTAGTATTAATCTCCATAGTATAGAAGTTTGGCTACTCTCCCTAGTATTAATCTCCATAGTATAGAAGTTTGGCTACTCTCTCTAGTATTAATCTCCATAGTATAGAAGTTTGGCTACTCTCCCTAGTATTAATCTCCATAGTATAGAAGTTTGGCTACTCTCTCTAGTATTAATCTCCATAGTATAGAAGTTTGGCTACTCTCCCTAGTATTAATCTCCATAGTATAGAAGTTTGGCTACTCTCTCTAGTATTAATCTCCATAGTATAGAAGTTTGGCTACTCTCCCTAGTATTAATCTCCATAGTATAGAAGTTTGGCTACTCTCCCTAGTATTTATCTCCATAGTATAGAAGTTTGGCTACTCTCCCTAGATTTAATTTGGAGTTAATTTGGATAGCAAGTTAATGCTAAAGTATCACCAAGCAATTAATTTAATAATAATATACATTTTAAAGTGTAATTTTAAAATTGTGTGCAAATTTGTATAAAATTGTTATCAAAAACCGTTGTAGTACATAATGTTACATTGTTTCCATATAATAACAAACAATAATAATAAAAAAAGCTACTTTAATTGTCATTATATGGCAACTTTATAGCCTTTTTTTCTGTCATATGACAACCATGTAAGGTTAAACAAAAGTTAAAAAGGTTATTAATAATTAACTAAGTAAACGTTTTTAAAATTCAAAACAGTCCAATATATTTAAGTCAGCTCTTTGCTTTAAACCCATTAATGGATTAATATTAATAAAACCACTATTATAATTTTTTTAAATTTAGAAATGTTTATAAGCATTTCTTTATTAAATTAAAATACCATGTAAAATTCACGAAACATTTAATAGTGAAACCCCCCAAAAAAGGTTGGTTCTTATATATACAGGGCCGCTGAGAGGGGGGCCCACCGGGACAGTTTGTCCCGGGCGATAGATATCCAAGGGGCGCCAAATGAAATGTATATTTAGGTACCTAAAAAAAAAAAAAAAAGTCCTTCATATATAATATAGGGAAAACTTGATAAATATTGGCGCCAATCAGGATTGCTGTCGCCTATAAATATATATATATATATATATATATATATATATATATATATATATATATATATATATATATATATATATATATATATATATATATATATATAAAGAGTTAAAGAAAATTATAATTATTTGTGCATAGTTTTATTTTCAAAGTTTATTCCACAAGAATGAGAGGAATGACGCTAAATTATTATGTAATTTTTTCTCAGACACCAGTGTAAACATAGAAAAGTTTTTTACTCACAATCAAGGTTTATTTCATTATTTAAAAAAATTACCCAATCCAAAGAAAAAACTAAAAACCCGCCTTTGGCATAATGTTTGTTGTTAATAAATAGTTTTTATTATTTGCAATAATTTAACTAAAATTTAATAAAAGTAAATATATCTTAACATAAAGCGAATGTTTATACATTTTATTTGCTTTCTTAAAAAAAAAAAAGATTTAAATAACTTTGTCAGCAATGTCTAATATTCCCGCCCACTGTGCAATGTTGGAGCTAGCTTGGCAAACAGCTTTTTTTTAAAAAATAAAGGAAATTCTCATTGTCATCTTCTTCAAGTATTTGAAAATCAATAAGAATTTTAAAGCTATACAAAAATTTTTTCCGTTGATTTTTTCTGTAACTTTTTTTAATACTAATTTAATGATAAAGTTTCCCACTGCCTTTTTTCACAAATTATGCTGAGCCTTCTTTTATACTTTGACTTTAAATACAATAAAAAAGGCTATACATGTAAAAAAAAAATGTGGCTTTGAAATACAGTAGGGGAACAGTGTTATCCGTTATTTTTAACCAGCTTGACGCCTGAAAAATAAATGCAATATAAACTGAGCCTTAAAACTTTGTGTTCGACTCTTTTGTTTATTATTAACAAATTTTGGTACCTCGAGGGGTGCGTTAAAGGTACGACCCACGAGGGTAACGATTAACGTCAAGTGATTTGTAGTCGTGTTTATTGAAAATACAAAATATTAGCAATCTTTGTTATATTTATATTGCATATTATGATTCGAGGTCATGAAAAATTTATAATATACTAATAAACTCCGAAATGTTCCAATGGCTTTTTTTAAAAAATGAATTGATCATATACTTTGTTTCTCTCGATTTAAAAAAACGCCTAATAAACAAGGATTCTTAAATAAAAACAGTTATGTAGTTGAGCGGTTGGTATTTGTCTAAATTTGTTTTTAATAAATTTTATATTTTTACCTTTGGAGTATTGTGATACGGAAATTTAGTTACGAATACATAGTTATATACTACCGATATAATTTATAGGTGCCAAGGTTGTAAACAAGTTTTGATATAAACTTTAAGTATTAGATTATACTTATATTATACAAGTATATTACACAAATATAATTAAATATTAGCTTTGTCATTTTGATGTTATATACCTCTATTTAACTTGTAATATACAATATTATATTGTTATAATATTATATTTATAACAGGCGTTGAATTGTGTTATAACAAAAATATTTATATATAGAATATCATATACTAAAATATATAGAATAATATATACTATATATACAAAGAGAGAGATAGAGAAAATATTACATACTATATATATATATATATATATATATATATATATATATATATATATATATATATATATATATATATATATATATATATATATATATATATATATATATATATATATATATATATATATATATATATATCAGGGATGCGGAGTCTTAAAAAGGACTCCTGATTTAAGGACTAAGGAGTCCTTAGGTATAATGGCAACAAGAACTCCATGACTCCGGGCTTAAAAACAATAAGTTTAAAGTCATTAAATCTCATAAATATTTTTCTTATAGCAGATCATAAGTCTACAAACATGTTTTGAGCTTCTGGACACTAAAGACTTGGAAAAAGTAAAGATATAAAGCCGGAGTCTTTTTGGGACTCTGCATCCCTGATATATATATATATATATATATATATATATATATATATATATATATATATATATATATATATATATATATATATATATATATATATATATATATATATATATATATATATATATATATATATATATATATATATATATATATATATATATATATATATATATGATAAATTTTAATAGAAAATGTGGAATGCTAAAAAATTTTTGCAAAGGACTGTTGCTAAGTCTAAAACTTCATGGAGAACTAAAGTAACTGTAAAAAGTTCAAAAATCATTGGTATTAGACGAGAAGATATAAATGTTTGGGAGAGAAGAGCTCCTATAGCTCCTCAACATGTTAGTGAGCTACAAAATCAAGGTTATTTTCAGAATTTGTCAGTTTTTTTACATTTTATTCAAATTAATTTTAATAGATTACTTAAATCTTGAAAGATTTGCATAAATATAAATATAATACTGTAAAATTAATTGTTATTAAAAATGGGTATTTCTTCAGTTAAATGGCGTAAATAAAATTAATTTTTGCTTTTTTGGCACTTGTAACAATTATATCTAAATTCACGCACCCTTCAATAAATAAATAAAAAAAGATCAAGTGAGGGCATGGTTCAGGGTGATCAGGGTCATGATTAGGGACAGATTTAAGGTTGTGGCTGGTCCAAATTGGTTTAATACAAGGTTCAGGTTGCTATAACTTTATATTTTTAAACCTTAACCCTAATCTTGACCCTCAAATAAGCATTTTTTTAATCTGTGAAAGAGCATGTCACATCAGACATATTAGTTAGAGATATATTAACTATTTTTCAGACGTATTTGTGACAAGTGCAAAAAAAAAAAAAATAGTAATTTTAGTATACGCTGCTTTAATGAAGGATTACCTAAAAATGTTACTTATTAATTATATTTTATTAAGATATAATTTTTAAATGAAGAATCTTTTAAAAACTTTTGGACAACATTTTTCATCAATGACAATCAACATCATCAGGTGTATAAAGTTAGTTACAATTGCTGTATATAAAATTTTTTTTTGGCTACATTATAATTTTATTTTATTATTTTTATTATTAAAAATTTGTTATAAACAAATGTTTTTAAATAATTCTTTTGCCCTTTTTTTATAATATAATCAATCTGGTTATTTTATTACTAACAACTTACAAGTCCTTTTGAAAGATAAGCTAATATAATGGTATTGGCTTATATAGAACACAATACATTTTTATTTATTAAGAATAATGATGGTTAAAAATCTAATCCATTTAATAACAATTAATGCAGGGTTTGTTAAACTCAAAATGAGATGTTTAAAGTTTAAAGATTTCAAAACCTTGCTAATAGTTGTAAATAAATTGATTGGGCAATAGTTAGTGAGGTATAAGCATTATCCGCAAGATATTGAAGGTTTTCAACAAAATCTATATGCTTAGCTCTATATGTATTATTTGTAAAAGTTTTAAAGTTATTATTTTTTTTTTTAATTGCAGTTAAACTAAAGTTGGTAATGGCCACATTTCATCA